GGCTCTGAGCCATCAGCCCAGAGCCTGACGCGGGGCTCGAACTCACAGACCGCGAGATCGTGACCTGGCTGAAGTCGGACGCTTAACCGACTGCGCCACCCAGGCGCCCCTACACAGCTTTTTAATATTCTGCCTGATGAAATCAGAAGTGCACTGAATGCTTTTGGCCGCACGCCGAGTGTGCTGGCTATCTGGACGCACACCTGTGGAGCCGTCTGCTTTCAGCCGAACCAGCCACTTTTCATGGAACATCATTCTTAATTGAGCAAACAACTGCCAGATTCTCAAAAAAGTGAACCAAATGAGCCTGAAGGAAAACCTCTGACATGGCAGAAATTAAGTTTTTGGAACTCTTGTGATCACCCCCGTGAGCCTGAGAGCTTCCCATTACTCAGGCTTTTGGTTTTGAGATCGGCGGAATTGCTAATGAATGACGAAATGTGGCGAACGTGAGGACAGGTTTTCTTCCCAAACTTCAACCGAAACAGCGTGTTGCAGCAGAACGAATACGGAAGCAGATAGGAGCGGCCAGCTAACGCCCAAGCCAGGCATTAAAAAGGCTTCAAAGATGCAGAACAGTAACACTCTTCTATTTTTGTTTGTTTGTTTTCGGACATGTACTAAAGATGTTATTTACGTGAACATATAAGGGGTTTGTCAGCGTTGTTATTAAGTGAATTTAAAATGCACGTTTTAGAAATTTCTCCGTTTTAGTATCTAACACAGTAAATACTTGTAGCTAGAACTCACATAAACAAGAGCTCTTTGAGATGCTCAAAAATTCTAAGAGTATAAAGGGCTCCAAAGGGCAAATGTTTGAGAACCACTGTTGTAGACTCATCTTCAGCACGGCTGTCTCCTCTAACCCTTAGTTTCTCTGCCTCAGTAGACCCCCAGGCACATAGAAATAGTAACCACACACACACCCCTCACAAAATTCCTCAATATTCAATTGCAAAGTCTGCGGGGCGCCTGAGTGGCTCAGTCGGTTGAGCGGCCGACTTCGGCTCAGGTCATGATTTTGTGGTCTGTGGGTTCAAGCCCCCCATCAGTCTCTGTGCTGACAGCTCAGAGCCTGGAGCCTACTTCGGATTCTGTGTCTGCCTCTCTCTCTCTCTCTCTCTCTCTCTCTCTCCGCCCCTCCCCACTCATGCCCTGTCTCTCTCTGTCTCTCAAAAATGAATAAATGTTAAAAAAAATTTTTTTAATAAATTGCAAACTCTGCTTTTTGAAAGGTAAAAATTACACGGTGACACAAAAAACTATTTGGAGCCCGTACAAAATGGAGCCTTAGCCTTACGGAAACTTAAGAGCGTGTCCATGTATCTCATGCACCGTTAGTAAATTTGTCATCCGAACAGCTCCATCCTTCTGTTTAGTTTCAAAACCCTGTGTTTATTCTAAATTTTAAACAGGAAGAAATGATTTGTGCTTCTGTCTTCATTCCTAACTTAAGCACAGAGTGTCTCAATCATTTTAAAAATCTGTTTTCAAGAGAGGGGTGTCTGTCTCCAAGTAACAATTACCTGGAGGAAGCAAACCTCTAGGAACGTCTCTCGGGTCTCTCCGCTCCTCGGATGCAGCGTGTCCGGCCACAACAGGCAGGGAGCTTCCACGCTGACAACCATCACTCATTTATTTTTTTTTTTAATTTGTTTAAACCTTTGTTTGTTTTTGAGAGACAGAGAGAGGCAGAACGTGAGCAGGGAGGGACAGAGAGAGAGGGGGAGACACAGAATCCAAAGCAGGCTCCGGGCTCTGAGCTGTCTGTTAATGCAGAGCCCGACGCGGGGCTTGAACTCACGAACTGCCAGACCATGGCCTGATCTGAAGTCGGACGCTCAACCGACCGAGCCACCCCGGCTCCCCAAGCGTCACTCATTTAAATGAGCGTAAGCAGAGCCAACTAGTGGGAAATATTACAGAGGGGAGTTCTGTATTACGTTCTGAATTACGGAGTTCATTTCTACTTAATCTCCCTCTTTTGCTTCCTCAGGAACTTAACAGGCACGTTTCCTGACTACCCTCATGTAGAAGAAGGAGGGTCAGCTATTATTTTCTCCAACAAGACCCCACAACAGGTACGAACACGCTTGAGAAATGAAACATAAATATACTGCAACCGCGTTTCTTCTGAAGCGTAAGCTGGATGGGTTCGTAGTGTTACTAGGTTTGGGTTACTTCCCTACACGTGTTCACAGGGAACTACTTTTGGGGTTTCACCAATGACGTACTTTTAAATTTATTTCAAAATGAATTCCTTCTTTCTCCCATCTTGCCTCTCAAAGAGACGTGACAATGCGTGGGGCTCACTTTCTTGGTAAATTCTGAGCAGTTTGACTTCAAGGGCCCCTTTATGCTCTGGCCCCTGCTTGCCTCTCAGGGTCGTCTCCTGCCCCCTTCTTCCTGCCACGGACTCCAGCGGCCACTCGCCCACCCTCCTCATGCCTCGTGTCACGGCATCTATGGTGCCTTTGTGTGCGTCGTGCCCTCCTCTCATCCCAGGGTGGCCTTCTGCCCCTCTTCCCCCACTTAGTTTCTGCTCACCGTCTGGACTCAGCTCTTTGCATACTGACACTCTTCCAGAGAAACATCTCTATAGATGCTCCAGTGTCGTCTGATGCAATTGACTGCTAAAGCTATATTTATTAATTTATTTATTTTTAAAGTTTTTTTCATGCATGGGCAGGGGAGGGGCAGAGAGAGAGAATCCCAGGCAGGCTCCACGCCGTCAGCGCAGAGCACGACGTGGGGCTCAAACTCACGAACTGCAAGATCATGACCTGAGCCAAAAACCAAGGGTCAGATGCTTAACCAGCTGAGCCACCCAGGCACCCTTAGAGCTATTTTTAGAGATGTGTCAATAAACTATAAATAGAAAAAACATTCTTTTTTTTTTTT